GGGCCCAGGATGGACTTAAAACAACGACAAGAAAAGATGCACAGGGTAGTGAAGACAGCAAACCTGGTATGCAACAGAGAAAAAGCCAGAAGAATAGGTGGTCCAAACCAAGAATCATTCATCATGAATGTCTTTGGAAGCACGTCAACAGGTAAACAACCAATTGCTTAACTTTAACAAAGACTTCGTATAAAGTAAGTCATTCTACTGGAGAGCCCAAGGTTCTTATAGAGGTTACTTGCAATGTATCACCTTGGTTGGAGGCACCTGTTGATTTGCATGACCATCTACCCAAAGAGAACTCCCCAAGTGGCAAGACAACAAGTGACAATAAAATACAAGAAGTCATCTTATCGTCATACCATAAGCTACAGAAAAGAAAACCAATTAAAAAGTTGATGGGTAGATAGCTTGGAGACGGTATGTAAAATAACTAAGATTTTTGTTTTGCTAATCAGAATTTTGGTCGTACTTTGTATAACACACTCAATTCATGATTTAGTGAATGTGAAGAAATATATTTATAAACATTAAATTTTTGATATTTGTAACTAGTGACTTCATTCCTTATTAATAATTATGTAAGTTTAAGTTTTATTTTTATGTTAGGATTGTGCAATAGACTTCATAATTCATGGAAGGAGCACTGTTGTAGATTACGTTTTAATATCTTAATTTAGATGTCTTGTTTGTTTGTCTTCTATTTGTTATTATACGATATTAAACAATTCAATAAATTGTGTTTATCATCACAAGAAAATAGAAATAAGTTAGGCTTAATTAGTTTTCATTATTTTTCAAGTTAGATGCATATAAGTTATAACTAAAGCTGAGAATGTAAATGTCTATCAGTCAGTATAGCGAGCCCCCCAGTGACCCAGCGGTATGTCTGTGGACTTACAACGCTAGAATCCGGGTTTCGATACCCGTGGTGGGCAGAGCACAGATAGCCCTTTGTGTAGCTTTGTGCTTAACTACAAACAAAACAAAAACAAGCAGCATGGCGAAAGTATTATATATAAAATAATCAAATCATAGTTAACTTTCTATTATTTAGAATATTGACAGTATACGAATAAAATAACGTTGTTACTTTTAACCTATTTATAAGAAAAGTATATGACAAATTAACTATTTGTTTAACAATTTACTGTTGAAGAAATGAATCGTTTTCGTCAAGTGGACTGGACTTTGCATTATTTTTACCGAATAACCAAAACGAACTCTATAGAAACTGTTACAACAATATCATAAGAAAGATACACTTAAATTAATCGTAAAACCACACAATTAAGCTATTGCAGAATGAGAATACAGAACTGGATAACTTTTTATTTGTCTGTCTTAATTTATCACACACACACACACACGCAAATATAAGATTGCAATTACAGAAGTATCCGTATCACAAATAGTTAGGAAAATTAAACACAGAGAAGTGACAATTCTGTGATTTTTCGGGAGGTGAGACTAGATAACTTGAATGTTGCCCCCCCCCTTCCCCAGTGGTCAAATTCACGGAAGTGTTTTGTACTTTATGCGACACTAGAACTAAACGCCATTACAATTGCTCCTAAGTTTTTGAGGCATAGTTAACCCTAACTTAGAACAGCTGACCAGAGGGAGAACAACCAGTCAGGAGCATCTGACGTTTTTACAACCGCTCTTAACCGAATAGCTCCCCAGTTGCACTGCGGTATGTCTGCGGATTTACAACGCTAGAAACCGGGTTTCGATACCCGTGGTGAGCAGAGCACAGATAGCCCATTGTTTAGTTTTGTGCTTAATTTCAAACAAACAAACAAACTTAACCGACTAGCGAGGTTACCTGCCAGTTTCATAACACGCCTACAGCTGAAGGCAATGAGCATGTTTCAGTGTCACTGAAAATTCTATATTATTGAATTCTGAAACTCTATACCACCCCAGGCCCAAAACGATGGTACTTTATAATTGTAATCTGCATTTATGGCAAAAATACTAAGGCTATCTGTCGCCGTCTCTAATTTTTAACAACTGGCCAGAGATGGCACCTTACCATCCACACTATGGGATTTATTGTCATTATTATAACGCACCCACAACTTAAACTGTGGGGACGTTTTAGGGTATCGCACGTATTCGAACACGGACCACCAGCTCCGAAATCCAGAGATTTACAAAAGGGCAAATCTGCTGCCACTCGGAAATACAAGAGTACAAAGTAAAAGACGTTACTTTGCTACAATTTATTAACACGAGAGAATGCGATAAAACAGAAGCAATTGTACGTTTACTATCTGATATTAATATCATATACAGGATGAAGGCCAATTATGCGCGCCTGAAATATTGTCTGATTTGTACAGTAGTTGGATATGTTACTTCCACAGTTATGTAAATACAAAATCACAGATAAGGGACACTATGGCAGCAGAGGAAACTCGTCGCTGAGAGGCAGGCTACATTTAAGAAACACTTCCCTGGGCGATGAGTACTTATCACGAGTCATTTGGGGAGCGGCGACAAATCTTACTCGGCCTGCACTTCTGGTGGGTTCATAATTGTGCCCTACCTTGTGGTATATAATATAACTATAAATTATTCACAGCTGAGAAATATATATAATCACAGGAACTTACTTCTATAGTTATTAACCACATAGTAATTATGTCATATTTATATACATCATAGTTTTTAATTCTTCTGTTTATTATCGTAAAGTTTTAGCCGTGAAAAAATAGTTATTGTTACATACGAAACAAAAAATTCAATAATTTATAAAACATTTTACCCTAAACTTTATTATTAGAACATGCACCGTTATAACGTTTTCTATGATCACCCTTAACAACGAAAAAATATATAATAAGTTAAGAAATGTTTGTTTCAAGTTTTATTTGTCACTTATAATGCTTTAGACATTACGAATTTTAGCCTTTCTAATCAACTACAAAACATATTCGGACTAAACAAATGGCGTGATTTAATGGATATTAAGCTCTTTCCTTTACCTGTTTTTCCTTTCACGATGTTGAGAAATGAGGTTAGAATAGTATGTTTCCAGGTGAACTTTGGCTTTTATGGCTTTATCCATCGTGTGTCCACTGAACCTGACCTGTCCCTTGTCTATGGCTGCCATTTTTTCACAGGCCGTATTCTACGAAAAGAAAACTATTTGATGGCAAGTTTTACAAGGCTCTCATTTTCATGGAAAATTAATTATTAGATGAAGTAAAAATGTAACACTTTTATACAAGCAAACAACTGATTTCGTTACCATGAGATTTCAATATCCTGTGGTGAAGCGGTCGAAAAACTTGATAACTAAAAATAAATAGCTTGCATAAATAAATAAAAACTATATGTGCATAAAATTTTGAAAATTCACTAAAAACGACAACTATGCAAATTTTTGCGTAGCATGTTTTGAATGACAATTTACAAATAAATCCCTGCAGCCAATTCTGAAGGCCTCCGAAACATCCCTGATCCCCAATTATGATATTAAAATATAAAAAATTTAAAATCTTCAGCTAGATACTTATCTTTAACGACCCTGTGCATATACATGCTAACGACCTAAAAGGATCCCATAACCGTATGCCTTGCCGTTTGGGGACCTCACTATGGTACTTTCAAAAATCGAAATGCTGATACTTACTGCTAAGTATTCTAGGCCATGCCATATTCATGTAGATGCATGTTTCCTTTTCCTAGAGCCCCAAACCTCCATGGTCCACACGTAAGGGTTCAAATTTTACAATTTCCAAAATCTGAACATAGATTAGTGCTTTGAACAGATTCTAAAATGTTCAGACCAGTTTTCAAGTAAATCATTAATTCAAATCTGAGAGTGCGACAAAAGTTCGCTGACCCCCTCTACACCCACTTTACAAATCTTTCTCATTTGTTTTTCTTTCTTGGTTTATATTTTGTAAAGGGTAAGAACTGACACGCAAAATATTTTGAGTCATTTTGTCCAGCATAGTGGGAGGACTTCAAAAATCAAGAAACATAGATGCAGATATAGGAAATTTTGAGAAATAGTATTTTGATTACCATGTCACCACTTTCAAACTTACTACTAATTAATAATCTTGCTTTCAGAAGCAAATCAGGAATTTAGTTTTAGTCCATTTTGGGAGCATTATCTAAATTTTAAAAGTAGTCCTGCTCCAAACTGATATTCATGACAGCACTTTAAATTAAAAAACTAATATTATGATGATTGAAAATTTTTAACAAATGGGTCTTCACCAAATTCAATTATGTAATTTATTCTGTTGGGCTAATTTTCGGCTCGCTTAAAGAGTCGTTATCATGTTTAAATGAACAACATAAACGTACAAAGTTCATTCTTGTGAATACCCCTTTTTTAAAAATTGTCATTCTAATTTAATTAATTACTCACAGTACAATAGGATGCCTCTTCCAGATTGCGATGATTTTTTGGAAAGAAATGCCTCTCTTCTCCCATAAAAGCATGCTCCTGTTAAAGTTATATTAAAGCATTTAGTACAGTGAATCATGCCCATTCTCTCATTTGGGAAACAAAATAAGGAATTCTTAAACTTGTAAAGATATAAATAGGCTTAATATTTATGATAAAAGTTACGTATATTACAGATATGTATATATTTTAGTTCCTCTAAATTTGCCTATTTTGGATTTAAAATATTTCAGTACAATTTCAAACAACTCCCTCCCACGAGCCACTCCTCAGGAGGGCTTTCATGTAGTACTAAAACTCTTCAGCTGGTAATGAACGATTATAGAAGAAAGCTACTATGTATTAACAGTAAGTCTGAGAGTTTGTAACGCAAGATAATCGGTTTTTGATACTCGCGGTGGGCAGAGCACAGATAGCCTATTGTGTAGCTTTGTGCTTAAAAACAAACAAACACAACATTTATACAAGGACCGAGAAACAATGAAAACCTACCATATGATTATAATGATGTCACTAGGAAATTAAGAAAACTCCATGTTTCCTTTAACAGCGCTAGTTCAGTAAATTCACGACAATAAATCAGTATGCAAGAAGAATACAATTATTAATAACTTAGTAAAACGGTTGAACGATGAGTAAGACACGCGTGTTTTCAAATATTATGCATTGCGTAACGTCAAATCCTGCTTACGAAAGGATGAGGTAAAAACTTAGTAAATAGACACGCCAATTAGTCTTTGAGTTTGAAGGTTTATGATATTATGCAATTATTTTCGCAACAGATATAGCATAAGAGGAGGAAAGTCAGTTGGTTAAATGATACAAGGAAATGACGTGACAGCTTCGAGCGATGTGACGTTTCCCATAAAACCTGTTAAAAGTGTTTTAACCTGTATTGCACGCCCATTTCCCACTGTACACGGCTTGATCTAAACCACATATGGTCTAGGTTAATCTCGCAATGAAGGTGGGAAGATCGTAGAAAACAGAACAATTAAATATAATCAAAACTGAATCGCTCAAACTCTTACCATTCGTTTATAAATAAATCTAAGTTATAGAAAATCGTGTTGAGAAATTAAGCAAATGAATTTACCTTAGTTTCACCCAACTTTGGTTTAAATCAAACAAACAATTGGTAAAATATTATAATTGTTTTTATTTGAAATAATTCGATAAAGCATCCAAACTGATCAAATTAAATGTTGTCCAAACTGATTAAATTAAATGTTGTCCACTCTGATCAAATTAAATTTGTTTTTCAAAACGTATATGTTATTTATCTTGATAAAGCACCAAAACACAACACATATATATATGTTGAACAATAAAACAACTCTTAATATAACTATTATTACAAACGGATAAAACGTAAATTAATCAAAGTTATCTACTTCTTCAACACTATACAGAATTTAACTTTTTATAACCAAAGACCTAAAGTTCACTGTGAAATTCTTAATGCAACGTGGAAATAAGTATGAAACAATAAAGAAAGATTTAGATTGAATCATGAACTACAGAAATAAATACGCAAACATTTACGTCATCAAAAAAACTCAATATAAACACAGAACATTGAAGTCTAACATTATATCGAGTCAGAATTATTAGGTATTTTATACAATATTGGCGAATGCAACAAACATTATAGATATCTTAAGGGATATATATATATTTGTCTTAACACGATGTGTATGTGTGTTTGTATATATATATATATATAAACACACATACACATCGTGTTAAGACGAATATATGTATTCCGTACGAATCAATGAAAGGAACTAGCACTCTGGCTGCATAACAGCTCCTTCTCGGCCTTCATAATGGTAACTGAACAGATATATGAGATTCCGATCCCTGGAAGTTTAAATTAAACTATGGTAGTTACAACATCAGAACGAGTTTTATTGAATCGAAACTTCTGTTTGTTTCTTTTTTGTGGAATTAAAGAAGAATGTACAAACTCTGTAGATGCCCAAGTCAATCTCGAGGTGATTCTTGATTTCCTTCAACTGTATATATATATAGGTTTCTCGCCAAGAAGTAGCAGATGGATAGTGTCTGGTAGGTCTTTCATTATATATCGATAGTGGCTGGTAGGTCTTTTAATATAGATGGATGGTAACTGGTAGGTCTTTTAATATAGATGGATGGTAACTGGTAGG